AGTTAGGCCATATGAAACCAAGGCCAGTTAGCTCTTATCTGACTTTCCCTTCCCTAACGACTATACCTGCATGCTTAACTAATAGGGCAATCCAGGGAAAATATTCCGCGCTTGGAAAATACTCAAATGACTTTAAAATTTACAGAAACCATTTTTGATGGCTCTAGAGCTAAAAGTTAAAGGCCCACTTCATGCTGATCGTGTGCGAAGGGCCAGGTCCACAATTGTGCCTTCTCATTGATGCGCTCTCTCTCGCTCTGGTGAATTTTTTGAACCGCCCCCCCCCTCCCCTGTGAGTGGCCGCTAAACAAACAAATAAAAAAGAAATAAGTAAAGACCTGTAGGCATGGCCTTCAGCATAACGACCGCAACCGATATTTCCACAGATCAGGCATATCCACAGATCCGAACTTTGCCCACATATGGAACAACGTTGTTCGGCCACGAGCTCCGGAGTTTGGATGTAACGGCACACAGGGCACCTTTGATACCAACAATTACTAGTAGAATTCAAAAGACTTCAAAATGAACTCACGTAGTGTCAGTCCACTGTTCAATACAACCGGCATGAAACGTATGATTGCAAAGGATAGAGACCACGCTATCATCCATGCGTTCCAAACACACAGCACATGTAGGCAGTTCAGTTAGGCAGGTTGATGAGCCAGCGGCATCACTTGATGTTCCCGAACTTGAGTATAACGTTGCAACCTCGTCTTCGGAAGCCTATAAAAGATAAAGGAAAGGTCTTCGCTGCCGATCAACTCTTTTTGGTATCGGAACACCGAAGACCTACATATAACACCCTTTTCATCCTGCTATACCTATAAAACCGTAGTCCTATTAACATCCTTGATAACAAAACCGCTGAAACGTACGCATTCTATCTTGTCCACGAACAGCAATCTGCACCGGTTTGGTTCCAAGCTATTGAATTGCGTCCCATTAAACTCGTCGTAGAAAACGACAGCATCGTTCTGCAATACTATGAATGACAAGGGAACAACTGCTTACTTTTCACATGGTCCCTGCTACATGACACTTTATGGAAAAGAGCTCAAAACTTTAGTATTTATTGAAACAGAAAAAAACGAAATGCGTTCTTCTTCTAAAAAAGCAAA